ATACCAAACACACTGTAGCACATATGACATCAACATACCAAACACACAGCAGCACATATGACATCAACATACCAAACACACAGTAGCACATGTCACATCAACATACCAAACACACAGCAGCACATGTGACATCAACATACCAAACACACAGCAGCACATGTCACATCAACATACAAAACACACAGTAGCACATGTGACATCAACATACCAAACACACTGTAGCACATATGACATCAACATACCAAACACACAGCAGCACATATGACATCAACATACCAAACACACAGTAGCACATGTCACATCAACATACCAAACACACAGCAGCACATGTGACATCAACATACCAAACACACAGCAGCACATGTCACATCAACATACCAAACACACAGCAGCACATGTCATCAACATACAAAACACACAGCAGCACATGTCACATCAACATACCAAACACACAGCAGCACATGTCACATCAACATACCAAACACACAGCAGCACATGTCACATCAACATACCAAACACACAGCAGCACATGTCACATCAACATACCAAACACACAGCAGCACATGTCACATCAACATACCAAACACACAGCAGCACATGTCACATCAACATACCAAACACAATGTAGCACATGTGACATCAACATACCAAACACACAGCAGCACATGTCACATCAACATACCAAACACACAGCAGCACATGTGACATCAACATACCAAACACACAGCAGCACATGTCACATCAACATACCAAACACACAGCAGCACATGTGACATCAACATACCAAACACACAGCAGCACATGTCACATCAACATACCAAACACACAGCAGCACATGTCACATCAACATACCAAACACACTGTAGCACATGTGACATCAACATACCAAACACACAGCAGCACATGTCACATCAACATACCAAACACACAGCAGCACATGTCACATCAACATACCAAACACACAGCAGCACATGTGACATCAACATACCAAACACACAGCAGCACATGTCACATCAACATACCAAACACACAGCAGCACATGTCACATCAATATACCAAACACACTGTAGCACATGTGACATCAACATACCAAACACACAGCAGCACATGTCACATCAACATACCAAACACACAGCAGCACATGTCACATCAACATACCAAACACACAGCAGCACATGTGACATCAACATACCAAACACACAGCAGCACATGTGACATCAACATACCAAACACACAGCAGCACATGTCACATCAACATACCAAACACACAGCAGCACATGTCACATCAACATACCAAACACACAGCAGCACATGTGACATCAACATACCAAACACACTGTAGCACATGTCACATCAACATACCAAACACACAGCAGCACATGTCACATCAACATACCAAACACACTGTAGCACATGTCACATCAACATACCAAACACACAGCAGCACATGTGACATCAACATACCAAACACACAGCAGCACATGTCACATCAACATACCAAACACACAGCAGCACATGTGACATCAACATACCAAACACACAGCAGCACATGTGACATCAACATACCAAACACACAGCAGCACATGTCACATCAACATACCAAACACACAGCAGCACATGTCACATCAACATACCAAACACACAGCAGCACATGTGACATAAACATACCAAACACACTGTAGCACATGTCACATCAACATACCAAACACACAGCAGCACATGTCACATCAACATACCAAACACACAGCAGCACATGTCACATCAACATACCAAACACACAGCAGCACATGTCACATCAACATACCAAACACACAGCAGCACATGTCACATCAACATACCAAACACACAGTAGCACATGTGACATCAACATACCAAACACACAGCAGCACATGTCACATCAACATACCAAACACACAGCAGCACATGTGACATCAACATACCAAACACACTGTAGCACATGTCACATCAACATACCAAACACACAGCAGCACATGTGACATCAACATACCAAACACACAGCAGCACATGTCACATCAACATACCAAACACACAGCAGCACATGTCACATCAACATACCAAACACACAGCAGCACATGTGACATCAACATACCAAACACACAGCAGCACATGTCACATCAACATACCAAACACACAGCAGCACATGTCACATCAACATACCAAACACACAGTAGCACATGTGACATCAACATACCAAACACACAGCAGCACATGTCACATCAACATACCAAACACACAGCAGCACATGTCACATCAATATACCAAACACACTGTAGCACATGTGACATCAACATACCAAACACACAGCAGCACATGTCACATCAACATACCAAACACACAGCAGCACATGTCACATCAACATACCAAACACACAGCAGCACATGTGACATCAACATACCAAACACACAGCAGCACATGTGACATCAACATACCAAACACACAGCAGCACATGTGACATCAACATACCAAACACACAGCAGCACATGTCACATCAACATACCAAACACACAGCAGCACATGTGACATCAACATACCAAACACACTGTAGCACATGTCACATCAACATACCAAACACACAGCAGCACATGTCACATCAACATACCAAACACACTGTAGCACATGTCACATCAACATACCAAACACACAGCAGCACATGTCACATCAACATACCAAACACACAGCAGCACATGTGACATCAACATACCAAACACACAGCAGCACATGTGACATCAACATACCAAACACACAGCAGCACATGTGACATCAACATACCAAACACACAGCAGCACATGTCACATCAACATACCAAACACACAGCAGCACATGTCACATCAACATACCAAACACACAGCAGCACATGTGACATCAACATACCAAACACACTGTAGCACATGTCACATCAACATACCAAACACACAGCAGCACATGTCACATCAACATACCAAACACACAGCAGCACATATGACATCAACATACCAAACACACAGCAGCACATATGACATCAACATACCAAACACACAGCAGCACATGTCACATCAACATACCAAACACACAGTAGCACATGTCACATCAACATACCAAACACACAGCAGCACATGTGACATCAACATACCAAACACACAGCAGCACATTTGACATCAACATACCAAACACACTGTAGCACATGTCACATCAACATACCAAACACACAGCAGCACATGTCACATCAACATACCAAACACACAGCAGCACATGTGATTGGGTATTGCTTGGTGTGAAGTGAATTGCATGATTGATTGCTAAGTACAAGAAATGTATGTATAAACATACAGAAGTCATGCAGAGTTTAGAAACCCTGAGTACGACGTTAGATTAAGATAAGCAGGATCTATTGACTGTGTGCCAGTAGACATAAATCTTGTATCTTTGCCAAGTCTGGCCACTCATAGATTGACCACAAGTTGGCACGCTACTGGACAAAGGTACACCAGTATTGAGTAGCCATGTTGATGGCTGATATGAATATATGTATGTACTCTGTATTTATACACTTAGTACCCTTTGAAACTGGACAAATCTTAGAGATCATATTTGCTAAGTACTCTTTAGAGGATTTAGGTGCGTGGTCGGAATTTGTATTTTCTTTTAAAGTAATTGATTAACCTTAATGACCAATCATATTTTCTTTAAGTCAGCATCATTTTTGTTCTGAAAGAAATGGAACTTGCAAATGTGACTGAGTTTTTGCTTGTTTTCATGACATTCAGGAGATGTTGTTGAGCAATATTTCCTTGTTTGGACTTCTCTGGATTACTTTGATGGTCATTAGCACGATGCAAGAAAGTGAGGTGAGGTGAAATGGGGTTTAATGTCGCGTCCAAGATTATTGCACTTATTTAGCGACGTGCATGCACGTGTGTGTGGGGCTGCTTGTACTAGTCCGGACTGATGCCGATTTATAGTGCTAGCTCACTGAGATACCATGCCACAGTTTAACATGAATACCCCACTCAGACACATTATACTGACTCCGAGCCGACCAGTCCTTGTTTTAGCCCCTTAATGCCGAGCACTAGACAGGGTAACAACAAGTACCATTTTTTAACGTCTTTTGGTATGAAGCTGCCGGGGATCGAACCCCGGGCCTTCAGCTCTCCGGGCGGATGCTCTACCACTGGACCACGGAGGTGGTCTGCAAGAAAGTAGTTTAGTAGATGAGACTGAAGGGAATACTTTAGGTCAAGACGGTACCTGGAATGATGAAGGACCAGGTTTCAGGAATACAGGGCCAGGATCCATGTCTTGTCTTTGATAGACATTTAGAAGGTGGAAGAATATGAATACAGGGTAAACATATCAGCATGTTTACATATTAACTCAATACGACGCTTACTCGGTAATTCACCTGATGAAGAGGCAAGAAGTACGAAGTAGCCCTGAAACATCATTACAAAGAATAGAGAAGTTGTTGTCCATGAAAAGTGTCATGTATTCAGGGTCCATGTTGTTTAGAAAAGAAGGGTTATTTTGTCATGGGTCAAGTGTTAAAAATTTTAAGTTTTAGAATTTTTAGAACTATTGGACTACATTTATATGATAAAAATACAAAATATGATGTTTTATGGTTTACAAGCAAAAACCATGTGATGGATGCTGAGGAAATAACATAGTAAGTTATGTGGAGTGTAAGGTCATATCTCTGTATTTCATACCAATGTTGGGGTCAGTTGGCATCGTGCTTAATTGTGTTCCTTTCCCATGACAGAGACCTATAATTGTGGGTTTGAATCTCAGATTGGCCTTGTTTATGTTTCTAGATATGTCGGCACCATTCATGGACCTGTGCTGGTGGGTTTCACCCAGGTGGCAGACATACAGGACCTGCTTTACTTTCAGGCTTCTTATCACATCAAGCTGGCATGTGATGTAACTGAAATACTGCCCAGAGAGGCTTAATCCAATTTTTCTCACTCACTAGTAGTAATGTACAATGTCTTTTTCAGATGCAGAATATCTGACTGGACTGCTGACCACCTGAAATTCTCAATCTACTGGCAGAAAATGGGTTAAAATGTATCGTAACAGTCACTGAATCAGTGCTCATTACATCTCACTGCCAGTTTGAGAAACAATGGCTGTGAATGAAAAACAACACCTGTTCCACAACAAGATTCCAAAAACTGAACATTCAGAAGACATGGTTCCCAAATTTGAATCTAATACCAAACAGTTACACTAATGGTTTAAGCCCTAACAATCATTTGAATGTTCCGTCCAGGCTTATTCCGTCCAAAGAGCCAGTGTGTACTTCCTAGTCTTTGACCTTCTGTAAACTGTGATATATTGTAATATCTGGAAATGGAATCAAAAATGAATTCCAAAGAAGTACCCCAAAATCTTTCCATTAGGGCTTCTGAAAAAGTGTTGACTAAGTCCACCTCACTGGACTCTACCATTCCACCTCAGGAAAAAGCTGTTCTCAAACGTGGAGATGCTGTACATGCTTCTGATTCTGAAGATGATATCAGTGAGGAAAACTTACCCGATCCAAAAATGTTGTTTCGGAGAAACAGTGACGCAAGAAAATGTGTTAGTGTTCGGAAACCATTGCGGAATGATTCCAAAAATGCTCCTCAAAATAGAGAGGCTTTCAGGAAACAGAGAAGGTTTTCAAGTCCAAACAACTGCTTTGATTTGAACAAATCTTTCAATTTCGGGACTGAATATCATAAAGATACTTCAGAAAGTGCTAAAGGTGTTCCACGGACAACGAAGGGCAATACTCTCAGTCCACGAGGAGTGAAACAGGAAGATGTGAAACAGAGACGTGTATCTACCAATGCTATTGTGACAGGAAAACAGAACAAAGACTCTGTGCCAGTAGAGTCGGTGCCAGTCTCTCCAAGAGACCATGTGAGAAGTGTGGAAATTCCTAATTGTCCTAACCAGGTTGAAAATGGTAGAAAAATGTCCCGAGTTGAAGTGCTTCTAAGTAATAATTTATTCAAGAAACACTTATCCAACCATGCTGATATTTTACAAAAACATACCTTGTCGTCAAGGCGATATGGTTTGAGAAAGTCTGTGTCGAATATTGATATTTCTTGTTTGGAATTTGGTCAATCTGCACTGTCCAGTGTTAATCAAACTCAGGGTTCAGGAAAATCTGAATCGCTAGGTAAAGAGAGCTTAGACTCAAAGAATGATGTCAACTCACCAAGTGCTGTTATATCACGGCGATTGACTAAGCAAATGCGAAGAACATCGATGTCAAGTCTAGATATTTCTGTGATTGGGGATTTTCTCAGTTCATCACAGCCAAATTTTAAAGAAGGTCCTAGCAAGAGGAAAAAAATAAACATACCAACATTTGAAGAATTTCGTAAACTACGAAGCTTTGTCTCCAATAATTGGCGAGGAAGTGCACAAATATCCGAGCCACCGAACCCCAAGTCTTCCACCACTGGTGATGATGTTTCTGGTGCTGAGAATGTACGAGGGTTGGACACAATAACAGAGGATGATCCATCAGAACATGAGGCAGACCAGAATAGGTCCGTTTCAAATCTTGCCAAAACTTTAGCTCAATTCAAACTGAATCAAAGTGTGCCAGTTTCTGTATCTTCAAGTGATAACAATTGTAAGATAAGTATGGAAGAGAAAGTGTCTCAAAGTGATGTGAGCTGTGATACAAGGACGTTGGGCGAGAGAGAACAGTTGACAGAAGAGTCTGTGAAATCTCACGTATCTGTTCCCTCAGGAACTCCATCTTGTGTAATACAGGGAGGTAACTCTGACCCAACTCACCTGTTGGACAATATGGATGTGCAATTGGATGAGGATGTCATTTTGGAGGTGAGATGAATTCATTGTACCTTGCTCATTGGAACTTTTGAATAGATTATTTTTGAGTGAATTCAGTCACTGACATTATTTTCACACGTAGAATTTAATGTAAGTAATGGTTTGCTATTGTAAATAACATAACAGCCATGGCATTCATAAACTAAACGGTCATATTGTCAGAGCAGAGCATTCCCTGAGGCTGATATTCTCAATCAGTTTCGCGATATACAGAGAACATTGGGACAGATTCACCAATATTAAGGTAACGCTATTTTTCAGGGCATTATCATTTGCAGAAGCCCGAGACCTTCCATTAATTGCCCGACGAAGAAGGGCAGTTGAAAAGATCGAGGGCTTCTGCAAATGATAATGACCTGAAAAATAGCGTTATCATTATTATAGCTAAAATGCATAGAACTTGCAAATAGATACATTTTACAATTTAATGTTGTGGTATATGATAAAAAGGTTGGTATATGTCAGTTTCATATGATACCCCCATGTCAAACCCCGACCACCATATCAGCCTTTGGCCCTTGGGCTGATATGGGGGTCTCCGGCTGATATGGGGGTCTCGGGTGGATATGGGTTTTCCGGGTTGATATGGGGGGTCTGGGGCTGATATGGGGGTTTTCGGGCTGATATGGGGGTTTGGGGCTGATATGGGGGTCTCGGGTTGATATGGGGTTTTGGGGTTAATATGGGGGTCTCCGGCTGATATGGGGGTTTCGGGCTGATATGGGGGTCTGGGGCTAATATGGGGGTCTCGGGTTGATATGGGGGTCTCTGGCCGATAATGGGTATGATATGAAAAATGGCATCCAATAACCTCAAAGTACCTTTTGTCTTCCTTGAAGACTATACACACTGTAAATGCATTTCATACAGAAATGACCATAAATGTATCCTAAAGCAATGTAGCTGTGACAATAGCAACATTGTATCCTAAAATAGTAATCCTGGTGAGTGGCATCATACTGACAGAATGCTGACTGAAGCAGCTATAAAATCACCATTTGCTATCAGTCAATGCCCGACTCACTGATAACAGGATCCATTGGGATGGAAAAATCTTGCAAATAGATACATTTTACAATTTGATGTTGTGGTATATGATAAAAAGGTTGGTATATGTCAGTTTCATATGATACCCCCATGTCAAACCCCGACCACCATATCAGCCTTTGGCCCTTGGGCTGATATGGGGGTCTCCGGCTGATATGGGGGTCTCGGGTGGATATGGGTTTTCCGGGTTGATATGGGGGGTCTGGGGCTGATATGGGGGTTTTCGGGCTGATATGGGGGTCTGGGGCTGATATGGGGGTCTCGGGTTGATATGGGGGTCTCGGGCTGATATGGGGGTCTGGGGCTGATATGGGGGTCTCGGGCTGATATGGGGGTCTGGGGGTAATATGGGGGTCTTGGGTTGATATGGGGGTTTCGGGTTAATATTGGGGTCTCGGACTGATATATTGCGGTCTCGGGTTGATATGGGGGTCTTGGGCCGATATGGGGTATGATATGAAAAATGGCATCCAATAACCTCAAAGTACCTTTTGTCTTCCTTGAAGACTATACACACTGTAAATACATTTCATACAGAAATGACCATAAATGTATCCTAAAGCAATGTAGCTGTGACAATAGCAACATTGTATCCTAAAATAGTAATCCTGGTGAGTGGCATCATACTGATAGAATGCTGACTGAAGCAGCTATAAAATCACCATTTGCTATCAGTCAGTGTCCGACTCGTGATACACAGTGCTGCACAGTCGATGATATGATCACAATTCTGTCACAAAACCTTTATTTATAAATCAGAAATATCATGTAAACATTGTCAGATAATACGAATTATTAATTTTCTGACTAGTTCCTGAATATGTCTTAGCTGTGTAATTTTCCCATTAATAATCAAATTGCCAGTCTTTAAGGAAGTCTCTTTTTAATATGGGAATTTTATTTGACATGGCTTGTTTTGAATTCTTGTCCCTACTTCATATCATTCCTGGGTATAGTAATATTTGTGAATAATTTGTAGACAGAAAGATGCCTGCGAAAAAGTTTAATGATAGTCTATGCATTTTTGTTTGTTTTGTTTTTGGTTTAACATGTTTAACGCCGCACTCAATATTACAGCTATATGACAACAGTCTGTAAATAATCGAGTCTGGACCAGACAATCCAGTGATTGACCTCATGAGCATCGATCCACGCAATTGGGATACAATGACATGTATCAACCAAGTCAGCGAGTCTGACCACCCGATCCTGTTAGTAGCCTTTTATGACAAGCATAGTCGACTTTTACGGCAAGCATGGGTTGCTGAAGACCTATTCTACCCCGAATCTTCACAGGTCTCGTTGCTTGAAGTCTATGCATCATGAGGAGTATTATATGAGACTTAAGACATTTCCCCCCAAGTGACTAATAATCTTTTATTAAACATGTTAAATAGGCAAATGAAATATTAAATTACTAATGTATTAATGGTCACAAAAGGATTTTCTTTCTCTGTTTGTGAATTTATAAAGAAAAATGTTAATTGTTTTGAATAATGTTTCAAATGAAATATCACCTTGAAATTAAAGATAGTCATGAAATCCCTTAAAGCTAGGATATGGCCTTTTGATCTCAGTTGCTTGTTTTACACATCGATTTTTGTCTCATTGATCAATTTTTATATAAGTATGGCATCTGTGATATATGTTTTTGTTTCAAGGCATCAATAGCATTAATCTGATCGTGGTTGCTGTAAATAATGGTGAATTGGTACTATCTGCAGGTCATTTCAACTCTATTTCACAGAAATTAATGTAAAAAATATTAAATAAAATCTTGATTAAAATGAATATAATACATTACAAATATAAGTTCAGAAATAAAATGAACACTCTTTATAACCAGATAGTGTAATAACAACTAACTTGCGTACTTCAATTTGGATGTGTTGACATTTCCGGTTTTTCATCGTTTTGTATTGTCGACGAAGTATGAAAAGACACCCAAATCATCATTTTTTCAAAATAAAATTATGAAATCAGGGAAAAATCAGTTCAGCGGGTTTGTAATACACAAAAAGTAAACATAGGTCTGGCCTAAGTAACTTAATAAGCCCTGTTACACCAGGAAAAGATTAATTAATACGTCCAAGGGAGTACATATTTGCTTCATTTTAGGATACTCTAAGTCTTATGTTTCTAGGTCGTCAGCTTCGCTTCTTGTGCCAACGGGATTTTCCAAAGTGTAAAAGCCAAAGACCTGTATCACTGCGGTTGTTTCCACCCACATCAAGCTGACACACTATCACATAAGGGGGCACGGGTGGCCCAGTCGTCTAAGGCGCCACAATTTGCTTGCAGAGTTGCATCCCTTGGGCATGCCAGAAACCTATGATTGTGGGTTCGATTATGTTTCTAGGTTTGTCAGCACCATACCCGTGCCCGTGGGTTTCACCGAAGTGGTAAATGTCTGAGACCTGCATCACTTCGGACTTTCCTCCCACACTAAGCTGACACGCCGTGATATAACTGGAATACTGTTAAAAGTGGTGTTAAACCCAACTCAATCACTCACTCACTATCTCACTATCACATAACTGAAACACTGCATAAAACTAAACTCACTCGTTCAGGAAACTCAAGTTTAGGGTTTTAAAAGAATTCTTGATTGACATGCAACATGAGACAAATGTAATTGTTCATCATTAACCCAGATATATCTATTCTTATCCATATGACAGGGAAAACTTTTATCTGAAATACACATTTCCTTCACTCAAAAGATTCTGCAATCTTTGCTTTGTTTCACAGAACACTGATGCAATAGACTCTGCCAGATTATGTGACCTTGCACAATCATATTCAAGAAAGCAGTCACAAGCTGGGAAGCAGTCACATTCAGAAACGCTCTCACAAGCAGGGAAGCACTCAAAAGAAGGGCAGCTCTCACAAGCAGAGAAGCACTCACAATCAGGAAAGCACACTAAGGAACAGCTATACTCAGGGCCGGAGTCACATTCAAGGGTTCAGTCACAATCTGGACCACAGTCACATTCAAGGGAACAGTCACAATCTGGACCACAGTCACATTCAAGGGAACAGTCACAATCTGGACCACAGTCACATTCAAGGGAACAGTCACAATCTGGACCACAGTCACATTCAAGGGAACAGTCACAATCTGGACCACAGTCACATTCAAGGGATCAGTCACAATCTGGGCCACAGTCACATTCAAGGGATCAGTCACAATCAAGAGAACAGTCACAATCTGGGCCACAGTCACATGAGGATGCTGCACAGTCACACGAGGATGCTGCACAGTCACACGAGGATGCTGCACAGTCACATGACATCATATTTGCCAACAAGGATGTAAGGAGTAAAATCAAACCAGAAACATACACAGAAAATGTAAGTAACTATTTGCCATAGGATAACATACCATCTCTTTGCTAATGGGGGACAAGGCTGGCCCAGTGGTCTAAGGCACCGCTATTCGCTGTGTAGAGTTGCCTCCCTTGGGCACGCCAGAAACCTATAATTCAGGGTTTGAATCCTGGTTCGCCTCGATGTTTCTAGGTTTGTCAGCACCATACCCGTGCCAGTAGGTTTCATCGAAGTGGTAAACGTCTCAGACCTGAATCACTTTGGGCCTTCCTCCCACATTAAGCTGACACGCTGCGATAATACTGGAATACTGTTAAAAGTGGCATTAAACCCAACTCACTCACTCTCTTTGCTCACCCTTCATGGGGATACAGAGCAGAATAAGTCAGGAGGACATGATGCTTGTTGGAAGAGCTGACTTATAAAGGTCAAATAGTGGCAGTATGTGTCCTGGAGATGGTGTGTCATTAGGTGCTGAAACCTTCCGTCATTCAATAGTCATGATCTAACCCAGGGTTTGTCTGGTCCAAACTTGATTATTTACAGACCACCCTGATATAGCTGAGTGTGGTGTAGAACACAATTCACTCACTCACTCTTCTCTTACAGCATGTCTCTGATTTTAGATCTGTATGGAAAATGTAGGTCTTCAGTGATTTTGACACAAAAAGGCTGTATACAGGTCAATGACTTGGACCCAAGAAATGTAATCAGTCAGTGGCAAAAGTCAATAAGTCACTTAAACAAAGATGCAGGATGCAGTAAAATTTTGAAGTTAAATCAGTACTTTTAAAAAATCGTGCATAGCTTCCACACATCCGGCTACCCGCCGGGTCTGGGAGCAATACTGCCATCAACTTCATCCCCCATCCCCCATCCCCCATCCCCCATCCCCCATCCCCCAGACTCAAGGACAACCGAGTCTCGATTGGCACTGAACTTTATGAGAGCATTAAAATCGATGGCTCCAAATCCATTCCCTAAGTGGAATAATCCTTACTATTTACTATTTAATCATGAAATTATGACATGTGTGACGCCTTGCTTAGCATTTCTATTGGTCAAAAGTCCGACAACTTAAACAAAACATCGGTCAAATAGAAAGTTTATCGGTCTATGACCGGTGACTGACGGCCATCTGAAACCCTGGTCTTGAGAAGCTCATGCTGGTCTGACAAAATGACTCCATCTGAATTGGTGTCTCGAGACACTGAGGACAAATGTTGGCACCCCTTCTTGGAAAGACCAGCTGAACTCTGATCTAGCTGATTGTGTTAGTATGCAATCATACCCCAGATTCAAGGTCTTTACTCTCAGTCTGTGATGTGTTTCCTCAACGCAATGTAGGGTCTCGTTTCACAATTTGTTGGAGCGGGGCTGGAGAGTGTGGCAAGGGCTGAATTGATTTCCTCGTCTTGACTTAATGCTTTGAGCAAGGGAACTGAATTGTGAGCCTAGACAGCATATTATCCAGGTTTTCAGTTTGTAGCTCTCTTGTATCCCTCCACTTGGCCTGAAAGACGTGACCATTCCCAAGCTTATAGGGAATATAAGGACACATCCAGGTCCTTTTTCTAAGGAAATGTTACTGATGCTCTGTGTTCTTGGGCCAGTAGCAGAAATGTATTGAGGTATGGATTTTGTAGTTGTCTTCCATAAGTGAACAAGTGTTTTCCTTGTGTGGAGTACCCTCAATGTCTTCAAAATTATGGGATGCTTCTGACATGGATTCACACTTTTTTTGACTGAGAAATTGCATAATGAGGCCTATGATGCTGTTTGTATGGTCAGTGTAGACAGGGAGAAACTCTATCCATCATTGTATAATGAGGCCTATGATGCTGTTTGTATGGTCAGTGTAGACAGGGAGGAACTCTATCCATCATTGCATAATGAGGCCTATGATGCTGTTTGTATGGTCAGTGTAGACAGGGAGGAACTCGATCCATCATTGCATAATGAGGCCTGTGATACAGTTTGTATAGTCAGTGTAGACATGGATTCACACTTTTTTTGACTGAGAAATTGCATAATGAGGCCTATGATGCTGTTTGTATGGTCAGTGTAGACAGGGAGGAACTCTATCCATCATTGCATAATGAGGCCTATGATGCTGTTTGTATGGTCAGTGTAGACAGGGCGGAACTCTATCCATCATTGCATAATGAGGCCTATGATGCTGTTTGTATGGTCAGTGCAGACAGGGAGGAACTCTATCCATCATTGCATAATGAGGACTATGAAACAGTTTGTATGGTCAGTGTAGACAGGGAGGAACTCTATCCATCATTGCATAATGAGGCCTATGATGCTGTTTGTATGGTCAGTGTAGACAGGGAGGAACTCTATCCATCATTGCATAATGAGGCCTGTGATACAGTTTGTATAGTCAGTGTAGACAGGGAGGAACTCTATCCATCATTGTATAATGAGGCCTATGATGCTGTTTGTATGGTCAGTGTAGACAGGGAGGAACTCTATCCATCATTGTATAATGAGGCCTATGATGCTGTTTGTATGGTCAGTGCAGACAGGGAGGAACTCTATCCATCATTGCATAATGAGGCCTATGATGCTGTTTGTATGGTCAGTGTAGACAGGGAGGAACTCTATCCATCATTGCATAATGAGGCCTATGATGCTGTTTGTATGGTTAGTGTAGACAGGGAGGAACTCTATCCATCATTGCTTAATGAGGCCTATGATGCTGTTTGTATGGATAGTGTAGACAGGGAGGATCTCTATCCATCATTGCATAATGAGGCCTATGATGCTGTTTGTATGATCAGTGTAGACAGGGAGGAACTCTATCCATCATTGTATAATGAGGCCTATGATGCTGTTTGTATAGTCAGTGTAGACAGGGAAGATCTCTATCCATCATTGCATAATGAGGCCTATGATGCTGTTTGTATAGTCAGTGTAGACAGGGAGGAACTCTATCCATCATTGCATAATGAGGCCTATGATGCTGTTTGTATAGTCAGTGTAGACAGGGAAGATCTCTATCCATCATTGCATAATGAGGCCTATGATGCTGTTTGTATAGTCAGTGTAGACAGGGAAGATCTCTATCCATCATTGCATAATGAGGCCTGTGATGCTGTTTGTATAGTCAGTGTAGACAGGGAGGAACTCTATCCATCATTGCATAATGAGGCCTATGATGCTGTTTGTATGGTCAGTGCAGACAGGGCGGAGCTCTATCCATCATTGCATAATGAGGCCTGTGATGCTGTTTGTATGGTCAGTGCAGACAGGGAGGAACTCTATCCATCATTGTATAATGAGGCCTGTGATACAGTTTGTATGGTCAGTGTAAACAGGGAGGAACTCTATCCATCATTGCATAATGAGGCCTATGATGCTGTTTGTATGGTCAGTGTAGACAGGGCGGAACTCTATCCATCATTGCATAATGAGGCCTGTGATACAGTTTGTATTTTCAGTGTAGACAGGGAGGAACTCTATCCATCATTGCATAATGAGGCCTATGATGCTGTTTGTATGGTCAGTGCAGAAAGGGAGGAACTCTATCCATCATTGCATAATGAGGCCTATGATGCTGTTTGTATGGTCAGTGTAGACAGGGAGGAGCTCTATCCGTCATTGCATAATGAGGCCTGTGATACAGTTTGTATAGTCAGTGTAGACAGGGAGGAACTCTATCCATCATTGCATAATGAGGCCTGTGATACAGTTTGTATAGTCAGTGTAGACAGGGAGGAACTCTATCCATCATTGCATAATGAGGCCTATGATGCTGTTTGTATGGTTAGTGTAGACAGGGAGGAGCTCTATCCATCATTGCATAATGAGGCCTGTGATACAGTTTGTATGGTCAGTGTAGACAGGGCGGAACTCTATCCATCATTGTATAATGAGGCCTATGATGCTGTTTGTATGGTCAGTGTAGACAGGGAAGATCTCTATCCATCATTGCATAATGAGGCCTATGATGCTGTTTGTATGGTCAGTGTAGACAGGGAGGAACTCTATCCATCATTGCATAATGAGGCCTGTGATACAGTTTGTATTTTCAGTGTAGACAGGGAGGAACTCTATCCATCATTGCATAATGAGGCCTATGATGCTGTTTGTATGGTCAGTGCAGAAAGGGAGGAACTCTATCCATCATTGCATAATGAGGCCTATGATGCTGTTTGTATGGTCAGTGCAGAAAGGGAGGAACTCTATCCATCATTGCATAATGAGGCCTATGATGCTGTTTGTATGGTCAGTGTAGACAGGGAGGAGCTCTATCCGTCATTGCATAATGAGGCCTGTGATACAGTTTGTATAGTCAGTGTAGACAGGGAGGAACTCTATCCATCATTGCATAATGAGGCCTATGATGCTGTTTGTATGGTCAGTGTAGACAGGGAGGAGCTCTATCCGTCATTGTATAATGAGGCCTGTGATACAGTTTGTATTTTCAGTGTAGACAGGGAAGATCTCTATCCATCATTGCATAATAGGCCTGTGATACAGTTTGTATAGTCAGTGTAGACAGGGAGGAACTCTATCCATCATTGCATAATGAGGCCTATGATGCTGTTTGTATGGTCAGTGTAGACAGGGAGGAGCTCTATCCATCATTGGGCCTTGTGAAGATCCAGTAGAACAGGTCCCACAATCCTATGCATGTTGCAAAAGCCACTGAAGTGGATTGGGTGATTGTGTGTCACCACCCCTGAAGGCGGGATGTTTGCTCATGGTTTAAATCACTACTTTTCTTGGTCCAGACAGTGCCAGGTCGGCAAATAGTGGATGATTGGACATTACTTATTCAAAGAAACTTCTATTCCTGTTTTCATTTGGATAAAACCTCACCATTCAATGCTTGGTCTTAAAAAAATGATTGTAGTTTCAATGACATTATTTTAAAAAAATAAAGTCAGTTCGACATTTTGTAATAAATACCTAAAGTCAATCTCATTCATTGTATTATTGCAGAAGAATGTAATTAAAACTTGTGGATCAGCAGAAGAAATGGGTTGATTAAGTAGTCAAGAACATATTTT